TCTCTCTCTCTCTCTCTCTCTCTCTCTCTCTCTCTCTCTCTCTCTCTTTCCGCCCTTTTTCTCCGCTTGCCGCCCGGTAAGTACGATTGCCCGAAGACGACGACGAGAAGGAACCAGCGCGAAGAACAAACGGGAAACTTCTGATTCGCGCTGAAGTGACACGAATCGTGAATAGGCGGAACGTGATTGTCAGAAGGGCACACATTCTGCCGAGCGTAATACGTTCTGTCACGGCGGATTATAAGGAACAGAGTCAGTATATAGGCGAGAATATTCCTCGCGAAGATCTGTTGAAGCACGAAACACGGAAGCGAGGCGAGAATTGAAGTAATTTAATCGAAGTGTGGTAAGAAGAGAAATAATTTTAACTCTATCTTTCTCTTTCTCTCTCCCGCCGCGCGCCGCCCCGAAGTCGTCAAATATGGAACGACGAGAGTAATCCGATTTTTTCGCTTAACGAGCGGCCATTTATACGCGCTTTCATCGTAACGGAGATTCTCTCGGCACGAAAAGAGTCGGGGATTTTCATTCGACGAAAGATCGTGAAATATTCGTCGCCGAGTTGAGCGGCAAACGTGTACTCTCCGCCCGCGAAGCAAGCAACAGGAATCGCTGATCCGCTATCGCTCAACGTCGATAGAGAAGCGAAATTTAAGAGAAAATTATTTTTTTTATCCTGAAATCACGTAGGGATCGCGGCCGTAATCTGTTCGTGCATCCTTTCGATCGTGCGCGTTTAAATGTGAAAGTTCAAAGCGTTCCTTTCCGAAGACGCCAATAAGAAGAACGTATCTTCTTTAATGAAACGCGAGAACTGGAAATTGATTTAACGACGCAGTACATCGCTAACCCTCAGCTTTTTCCCGGCTAAAGCGGAACGTTCGTCAGAGTCGGAAAATCTTGTGGAATATGTATCAATCCCAGAAAGAAACGCGCGAGATATCTTTTTGTTTTAAAATTCTTTAAAACAAAAAAGTTTCATACCCTCTCTCTCGAGAGGGTTCGATTGTACGTTTACATTGACAAAAGTATCGTGGGCGATTAGGATTGCTTCTCGAAATCGCCCTCAATTTATAGGAAGATTCGCCCACAGCTTCCTAGAAGCAGTTTTGCTTTATATTGAACTAGGAAAACGGGGAAAACGGGGTGACTGAGTGAGATCGAGGGAAGGGGCATTTAGCGGGTGGTTTTGACGCCGGTAAAACTCGCGGTGAACGCGCAGTCGACGATCGCACCTAATAGAGGCGACGACGCTGTTTTCAATTCTTGTTCGGGATAACGTCGATCTCTCGAGCAGAACGAGCGGCAGAAAACTTCCGTCGAATTCGATTTGGTAAACGGGATAAAGAGCACCCTCCGCGAGTGGGCGAAGCCGAGGACGGAGGATAGATGGGGCGTCGGTGGGTAGATACGTGATCGTCGTGGGTGGCTTGTGCAGGGAAGAGTGAAAAGTGCAGTCGAAGCAGTATAACGTGGCTGAAGCGGCCTCCGGAGGAGAGGTTGCAGGCCGCTGCGGGTTTTCGATATATCTCCACGGCGCTGGCGAGGGGAAAAGGGAGAGAAAAAAAGAGAAAGAGAGAGGAGGCGAGGGCATGTGAGGGTTGCGACGACGATCAAGCGAGCAATGTCAGCATGTCAGGAGATGCCAGCTATACAAACGCATTTCCCTTCCCGTATCTTTTTTTAGGGATACGCTAATAGATCCGCGGCACGTGGATCGCATGACAATAGGTCGATGACGTTGACGATTAGGACGATTTCATCGAGGCAATTTTTGTCAAGGTCCCCCGAGCCCTTCCGCGCGTTACGTCAGCGAAAACTGTTGCCGCGCGAGGTAGCGTATTGAAGTATAAAAGAGTCACGGTCGGTCTCGCTCCGCGTGTAAGGTCTTACTTGGCGCGAGACACTACCATGTCTCTTGATCACATTCGTGGAGTCGCGCGTTTTGTTCGATCGAATAGTGTTAAGTATGTAGCCGTGGTTGGGATAGTCGCGTAGAATTCGAAACGCGATAGATAATTAAAGAGGAGATTCGAGGAATTTCGCGTTGAAATCGTGAGTAAAGGAGGCGACGATCGACTGACGTCGCGGCTCGATGTAGATCGCGCGCTCGAAATTCGCCAACGGAGGGAAAATGGAAACGGCAAACGACAAGTGAGCCGCAGACATTCGAAACACAAACTAGATCAGTAGCTCGCTAAATTCGATACTCTCGGCTCTGCGCGCTGTCTGAACCAACGTCGTTTAAAGGTCGGTTAGATGACATATTCGAAGTGCAACGCGAGCGATTGTGCGTATATGCGGAGAGAGCGAGTGTTATCGATTATCCGGGGGATAACGTTTTGCGATCGTGCTTGCGACCGCGAAACTATAAAGTGTCGGATTGACTACCGGGTGGTGTATGATCAACTGTATCGACGAGCGTGCATGACGTGCGCATTAACGAGCTCATCCGACTGTAATCGTGGGAATATTGACGGAAACCCACGGGGATTGGTCTTCATTAACGACCGCGTACGACGAAAACATACAAATAGTTTTCGATAAACGAGAAAGGGAATTAACTGGCTTATAGCAATTAACACTACGTCGGTGCAGAAGCGAGTGTAATTTATTCGGCAAATTTGACCGTCGTTTTTAAGAAAGTCTAGTGACAGTCTTAAGAATAATTATAAAACGAGTTGTATAATTCCTGTGTATAACATTAGTTGCATGACGTAATGTCTCGGCGACACTCGCGTAAGATATAAATAATCGAGAAATAGATAATTAAGAAACCAAACGTAACTAATTGATAGATCAACACACGAAGGGAACGTGGTTGCCCTCAAGAGTTCAAGGACCACTGTAAACATCGAGCTTCTTCAAGTCTTCTAGTCCTGCCGTCGAGTGAATCGATCGGCCAGTCATAAAGTCTTCGGTTATTAATATATCTGGTAGCGCGAAGCGTGAGAAGATTGTGGTGTTCTGTGAAAACTGCAAGGATCACAGTGTCCGTTAATCGTTTTGAGTACCATGACGTTTAAGTGTTAACCGCGGAAGAAAACTTTGATCCCGTTATATGACGGCTCGAGATGCCTCGCGCGTCTTATCGAGTTCGCACCACCCGTCGTCGTCACCGTACCGGATATCCTCTGGAGTCTTTCGACAGGATCGCACGGGCGTACCCGAGGACCGCGAGAGTTAATTAAAATGCGAGAGTTGAACGACACCGCATGCACTGCTTTATACGAGGGCGTCGAGTGGTCAAGCCTGTGGAACGTGATTGCCCTAATCGTCCTGGCGATCGTCGATGTCATGGTGGTGGTGGGTAACGTCCTGGTCATTCTGGCCGTCTATTGTACCAGCAAGCTGAGGAACGTGACGAATATATTCATCGTGAGCCTGGCGGTCGCCGATCTGTTGGTCGGCGTCGCTGTCCTGCCGTTCAGCGCGACCTGGGAGGTTTACAAGGTAAGATCTTTTTTTAATGCGTCAATTGGCAACGAATTCACGAATAGATATTTTTTAATGTAAAAAGAGAGAGAATTAATATAATCTTATAAGTTATGGGAATGGGAGAATTTGTCAAGCAAATTATCGATTTATGATTAAAAATGAGAGATCTATTTAATGTAATACTAGCGGCTTGGTGACAAGAATTGAACTAACTCCTTTTCAGCGCGGGTCGTTAAAATAAACTTTGCTTAACAAAAGATACAGTTGTTATAATAATACATTGTCAATGTGTACGTTATAGCTTTAAATTTAGAGACCACATTATAAGATAGTGTTGAGATTAAAAAATTCAATGCATATAAATATACCAAAAAAATATGTGTGTGTGTGTGTGTGTGTATTACATTAAATCTTTCTATATTTGTTTATAAATTTTATATTATTTTTCTAATAATTGTTATAAAAAGAGATGAAGAGTACATTGACAAAAAAAAAGAAAGCGTTCGATAAAAATGAGTATCACAAAGAGTCGATCGTGCTTTATTAAAGCAGCGCATCCTGTTTCGCACTTTATATTGCCCTGTCAGGGTTGTATTTTGAATCGACGATATTCACACTTTGTCGCAATCAATAGTGCATTTTTCATACAACGGCCGGGCACAATAGCATCAATCGCAACGGCGTTATCGATACAACGACAAGGTGCCTGCCAGGGAAATTTCATCCACTGTACTGGACGCTCACTAACGCACGGTTTTCGACAGGATCGATTTAGTTTGGCTAAAGCGTCGAATTCTGTCCCACGCAATATCCGCTTGTTGTCCCAGGCGAGGTGTATTTGGCGGTGGATGGGATGCGCATTGTTTACAAAAAATATTACTATTCCGAAACGTACTTGAGCGTAATATTCGAAAGTTACGCCGTTCCGATATTTGAAGCTGGTTTTTATTTCAATGCGAGAATTACAATGTAAGAACTGTGTTTAATAGATACGTATTTTTGGACATTATAGTTGTCTATCTCTTTTTTTTATTTGAGATCTTTACTGTAATTTATCGATTCAATAGATCTTTGCGGTAATATTTCCCGTACCTTATTCAACATTATTTACATGAAAATAATATTTTTTTTAGAAAAATTTTTCATTTTTTTAATTGTAGATAAAATTTATTTATACGCAAGATATATTTTTAAAAACAGTTACCACATGTGAAGAAAATAATATTTCCAAGCACACAATTTTCTTTCTCCTTCCGAGAATATCGCATCGTTAATCGCGAGACACTCTCGCTCCTCTCTCGCTCATCTTTTTCTCACGCCGAGGTAATTCCTTCGACGTATCTCTCAGGGGCTCGTTACGCTACTCCTTTGAGCTTTGTCTCATCTTTTTTTTTATATGGTTAAAAAGTATCATGAGAGAAGAAACGCGCGATGGGGACGGCGGTACATACATTTTATCCCCGAAGTCGTCAAACGAGCCTTGCCGGTTTAAGTGGGATTCACGGAGGATGCAACAGTTTGTTGGCTTTTCCCTTTGGTCCTTCCAGCTTGGATTTCCGCGTGCCTGCGATATTCACGTGTGTGTACTGCTCCCCGAGAACCTGGAAATAAGTCGGTGGGCAGTGGATGGAGTACGGAAGCGGCATGAATCTCTCTTAGCTCGAGCCGAGAATGAGGTGTTCCATTTAAGGGGACTAAGCAGTCAGATTTATCGAAACTAAAGCTTTTTTGGGGGAATTTATTACAAAGAAATGAATTTAAACCGAAACTTGACCTTTAACACAATGTTTATTAGAATCATAAACTATATTACTATATAACAAAAAAATTTTTTTAGTTGAAAATATACATTAAAAACTTTAAACGTATTTTTCTTCGTTTTTTATTTTCTTTTCATTACAGTGATAACTCAAATACAGATACTCAAATCGACTTGAAAAAATTAAACATGTTCACAACAAGTATAATTTCGGACTAACAACCTCTAAAAAGTCTGTACAAACTCTAGTTTTTGCGAAAAAAAATCAAACAACTCTTTTTCCGTTTTTTATTTAAAAAAAGAGCCCGAGTAAAGTAGTCTTCTTAACTGAAGTTTACACGATATAGCGCAAATTAGTTCATCGCGCATTTATCACGATACGACTTTTTCTTCGAACGGTCTTCGTTCCTCCTTTTCTTCTGGAGGAATTTATCAAGCGCAGCATAGAGCGTCTTTTCAGCGCAAAGAAAAAAAAATACGATAACGAGCGTCCTCGATGCAGAGATGCATGGTGTATATTTGTAAAACTGTTCGATTTATATATTTCAATGAAAAAGTAACTTAAATAACTTGGCAGGCCGAAATTAAGTATCGATCGCTGCGCCAGTAAGACACAGCAATATTGGACGCTAAATAAGAAATGAACAATAGAAGTCTGTTAAGCAGCGGCTGCTTAAAAATGTAATACATAGACTTGCAGTTGAGTAAAAAGTAAAAATAGATATCGCAGTATTGAAAAGTAAAAGATATATATGTATCTTAATATTCAGTTAGTTTATATTAATCTCAATCAGAAACAATTAGAAACATAGAAAAAGAGATACAAGAGAGGATTATAAGCAAAATATATACTGCATTAATTTAATATTTTCTCTTATCATTTTCCCGAAATTAGACGCCTCGGGACATCGTTTAATTATAATGTATGCTGATAGAATGTATTTGTATCATGCTGCCTAGTACCTACTAATTACATGAGATAAAATTGGCTTTAATTAAATAATGCGCTGTCAGGCGAGTTTGAAAACAAAGATGAAAACGGGACTATATATAGAGAGATGTATATTTTTCACTTGTTCAACTGCAATCGCGTGAATAATAACAAATAATTAATAAAATTTTTCTTTTATTATTAGTTATTAGATAATAGCATACTCAACTCAAGATTTTATTAAATATCTTAAATAGAATTTACTGATATAGTAAAAGCAGACAATATTACCACATTTGCAATTTCTCTTTGCTGTGTCTTCAAATTTTATTTTTGATGCTATTATTGATGTTGTATAGAATTTTAACATTTTGAATTTGATTAGCATGCAATCGTCTTTTTCCGAAAAATGACAAAATTTTCTTTTTAAAAACTGCAATTATTATCAGCCGAAAAGCATTCTGGATAATAAAATTTATAGAAATCCTCAATATTCGATTAGATCATGGTAGAATGCAACGTGAAAGGAAACGAGCAATCGGTTATAAATTTAAAATATTAGGAAACACAAGGAACGGAGGATCAATTTGATTGCAATTTGTCGGTGACCGTGCGCAATCGTAGCTACAGTAATCTGACCGTAAATAATGAAAGTTAATTACTGAATTCCGATATCGGTATAACACGCGTAACACCACTGGCCAAAGCTAATTCTGAACAGGTGGTTGTAGTCTCGTTGGAGATGCGCACGGTTGTATCGCACGTCATTATGCGGGTGCGTTACGCGTGCAACACGAGCGTAGAGAGATGCGCGCATGCCGCATACATGTATGCGGATTCCATTGTACGCGGTTACATTGTGAATCACTGTCCGACCTGAATGGGAATTGATCCGACGATTGACGCGCGCCGAATCCCCGCACGTCTTATCTGATGCTCGCCGCTAGGTTTTGCGATAACGCTACACATCGCGATACACAAGCGATACACATCCCTGTCAATCACATGCATATAAATAGTCCGTCTATCCACGATAAGCCTCGCCCGGTGTATCGATGGTTATTTTTGCCTCAATTTCGAGATTTTTGCCTCAATTTGTGTTATTGATTTGACAATTCAGCTTTTCACCTGCACACATTAGGTAAATATTCGGAAAATGAAGCGAACTGTATATTGCAGTAAAATCAATTTTAGATTTGGTCATATTTGAAGTTAAATAAAGAGTAAAGATTTCATTTCCAACATTTCATACACATTTGAAAATATTTGGAAAATGAAGCAAACTGGTGAACTGTCTTGCAGTAAAATCAATTTTGAATTTGGTCATATTTGAAATTAAATAAATAGTAAACGTTATTTCCGCTATTTGCGTCAAATAGCGGAATATTCTTTGCTACTAACGTTTTGTATTAAATGTATTTCTTTTAAACGGTCTTTTTCTCTCAAAAGGTCTGGATATACGGAAATATCTGGTGCTCCATGTGGCTGGCGGTCGACGTTTGGATGTGCACGGCGTCGATATTGAATTTATGCGCCATCAGCTTGGATAGGTACTTGGCGGTGACCAGGCCAGTCAGTTATCCTCAGGCAAGTACCACTCAGCACTCATGAAAACGATTATCCCAAGGAGATCAGACGCGCGTTACGCATCAATCAATTTGGCCACTCCGCTTGACGTGGCGTTTGTGTTCGACGGGAGTATTCCCAAGTGGTTACACTTTGCAGAAACAAAAAATATACCGAGAGAAAGTGAAATTAAAAGCGAGTTCTATAAACGGTGAAAATCTTACAATTATTTTGAAATTTTTGTATTTAAAGAAGAAAATATATAATATTCACAATATTATTATTAGGCTACCAAGATCCAGTATGGACCGTAAATGGCACTTTTCTCTCTAATTGATTAAATTTTTGTATTTGCTGTCCAAAATATTTGCAATGCTCAATTAGATGCATTGAGCTTTACATTTTAGAAAATTAAAATAACAAAAACATAAACTTGTGCGCATCGAGAAATGGAAAAAAAACAACACGAAAAACATAATTTTAAAAATGTGATTTTTCTTTCTAAAGACGGTATACCGACCAATCTCGTTATCTCCTTATCTACGCAATTATCGCGTCCCTGACGCGCATTTCCCCGTTAATCGTCTCATTTATTTTTCTCGTTTCCATAAATCCAGCTTATGTCGACAAAGAGGGCTAGATTGCTGGTGGCCACCGTTTGGGTTTCGAGCTTCGTTATCTGTTTTCCGCCTTTAGTCGGCTGGAAGGACAAACGGGTGCGTACTAGCCACGGCTAATCCGCCTTCGCGCTGTTATTTCGGGACGATTTTCAATCGTCATTCGATCGGCCCCGGCCAGCCGGCCGACCGGATCGTGTTTGTTCCGCACGCGTTTTTAATCGCTTCCTCTGTTCTCGCAGTCGCATACTACGTTCAATGATACGTATCCCTCGTACGGCCCGTCCAACACTACCACTATACTTGTACCGATGAAGCCGTGCCCATGGATCTGCGAGCTGACCAACGACGCCGGCTACGTCGTTTACAGGTAAGTCTCGCAAGGACTCTTGGATCTTCATTACATACATATTGGATCATGACGCGTAGTAACGAGAAATTACACGAATACTTTTCTCTTTGCGTACATCGGTATAAATTGGTTGTCCGTTATCCAGTGAAATAGCAGGCGTGTCGTAAAAATGGAGCTATGGAAAATACCTTTTTAATGTCTTCTCTGCATTAAAGAGACATTATTCAATTTAATTGCGTAAAATTAATTAATTTTAATATACGCTACAGGAAGCAATCAGAATACAGGATTAAAATTGTATTTTAGATATCGAGTTTTTTATTTGGATTTGTTATGTATATAATAAAATTTATACAACTGAATTATTTGCATAACATTAATACATATATTGATATCTAACATGTATATTAAAATCTGAGAATTTACGTGACGTACAATGATCGAATTTTTAAAACAACAATGTAAACATGTCAATTAAAGATCACATTACTTTTGAAGCAGAAATGTATTTGACATTTTCGCAAGATAAAAGCATATTGTATGTATCATTCTTGACATATTTTATTTCCGTTTTAAAAAGAGATAAGCTCGAGAGATTGTTGGATTTGTAACTTGACAGATAGTACATACGACATTAGCTTTTGAGTTAAATCCAAAATTTCGTTGTGGATAAGACTGCGCCAATAATAACAATAATGTGAGTATTTTGTCAGTTTATTGTAACAGAACACATTGTAACAGAAATGTCGACCCTATAACAACATAATTCACGGCAGAAGGAAACAGATTTTGATTGCTGTCCACTCCTAATACAGCGATTCAACTGTTGCGTTAATTTAATTTTTATGTAATATATGATAACTTTTTAAGGATGTATTGCACCTATTTTCAAAGCGCTACCAAGTGGATAAAAATTTGTAAGAATGTTCTTTTAGTCTTCCTGATGTGCTACAAAAAAAGTAGAAACGAATCCACTAAACGGTTGCTGAGATATAACGATTTTAATTTTCACTGATTTTACACGTATTTTTATGGGAAGAGACGATTTTGACGGATAAAACGGCTAAAAAAATGTTGAAGGAACGCTACCAACATTTTGAATTTTTTTGTACATCTAGTATACGAATAGATGAAACTATCTGTCAAGTTTCAATTGTCTTCACTACACCGTTTTAAAGAAATAAATTAATAATTAATGATAATTAATTATTAATTAATAATTAATAATTAATTATTAATTTTATTAATAATTTGACGTTATAAAGTTGAAATCAGGGCATTTTTACTGCCAAAAGTTTAGGCTCATAAATTACAAAAATCGCAAATAATACTGGAAAAAACATTTGTAAAGTAAAAAATACCTTTGTAGGAGTAAAAATAAGACTCCTACTATCATTTGAGTATCTTACATCTAGATTTACTATGCGTTAGGCGTAGATATTCAAGTATTTCAAATTTCATGCACTTTTGTCTAAGATTGTACCAGTGATACATCCTTAACCGCGACTGACTTATTTGTAATGCGACACTGAGCATGGTCCTATATAAAGGTCCGAAACGTCTGTAGTTTTAACTTAAATATAGAATATTTTAACATCAACACCCAGTTACGGCTCGATGGTCCATATTCTTTGATTGACCAATAATAACAGTTTTATTTCTATGTCGTTATATCATATTGTGCGAGTCAATCAAGGTCGATTATATACGCACCGTACGGTGGCGATCAATACCCTGATAAATCGTAAACGCCTGATGCGTTTCGAGTGCTGTCCAGCGGACTCCGACGTGGTTCTCGATTGCGTCATCTTGTCCATTGTTAACGCCGGTAGTCAAATTAATATTCGCCCGTAGTCTGATGATTTGCGTTGGACTGCACGCGCAGAGAAGCGTCCGATATGTTATCGCGAAACGGGGAAATACGCGATTATCACCAGCGTGACAGGAAATCGCAATATCGCATACTGTGTTGCAGCGCCCTGGGCTCCTTCTACATACCGATGCTAGTGATGATGTTTTTTTATTGGCGGATCTACAACGCCGCGGTTTCCACGACGAGGGCCATTAATCAAGGTTTTCGCACAACAAAAGCCTCGAAAATGTTTGGCACCAGGTAAACCCTCGCGCCAGTTTCCCCCCCCCCCCCCCCCGAAACTTCCGTTTACCAGAGTAGTGAATTTATTTTTTACAATATTTTTTACAATCCTGCAATCGATTTTTATCACACATTTATTTGTGTCACTTTTTTGTGAGATCGACGTAAATACTGATCATTTCACGTTAATTGCCTTTTATCTATAACCGAGAATATCTTGTCGGACATTACCCAGATAGCACAGCTGATCTTTATGAATTCAAAAAGATCTGAATCTGATCTTAATGAATTCATAAAGATCAACTGTGCTATCTGGGTAATTATTCTACCTATGCAAACTTTTAATATTGTACATAAGACAAATTCATTATCTCCTGTCATTCCCTTTTAATGAAATGGCGCTGCAAATGAATTTTCCCTGCATTCGAATATATTTTTCCACGCTTTGTTCTCTCTCGAGTCGTCATTTCGTTCGCGGGTTCTGCGGTTGAGCTTCTTCTTCGCGCGCGAGAGAGAGGAAGCTTCCTTTTTACGGGAGCTTCATTATGCCGCTGACAGGCATAATAGAGAATACGCCTATGCAGAAGCACGACGCATTTTCCTATTCTTATGCAGGTTCGACGAACAAAGACTGACCTTACGAATACACCGTGGCCGCGGTAGCGTCCACAACGGCAGCAACAACGGCAACTCGAGAAGTCCGGACTCGAGCAGCCGCAGCTCCGTTAAGCGGGAGAAGTTCAAGATCTCGGTCTCCTATCCCAGCACCGAGACTCTCAACACGAAGTGCAACACCCTCAACAGAACGCCGTCGAGATGCTCGCAAATCTCGGTTCATTACAGCAACGGGCAGACGCAGACGCAGCTTTGTCCGGCCTCGCAAAACACGCATCTTAAGGTAAATTAGATTTTAACGAGCTCCATTCGCACAGATCTCTCCCCGAGGGCACAATTAGCTGCTCGAGACGCATGGACCCTTGTTTTTTTAATTTTCCGACCTTTTTTTCATCTTTTAAGAACAGCGGGGTCTTCTTCGTCGCAAAATTATACAATCTTGATATATAGTTTTATCATTTTCATTGCACAAAATCATTTTGGAAAAAACTATATGAAAGATTTATATATATTTTTTTGTATTACTGTGTATAATATATATTTATAATTTATAATATACTAACACATTCGGAAGACTGGAATTTAGTTTTCACCGTTGGAAGTGATGTCGAACGTGCATAAATTTCCAGGTTCCAGCACCACATTCCAGGTGACATTTTGTCGCTGCAATTTCGAGTGCACACGCTTTTTTTATTGGCGACTAATCGACGGCATTTTGCAAAATGAAACGAATCAAGGATCACTTTTTCGTTCAATAAAACCGACGTACTCGTTCGATCGGACGGGGCTATCGAGCCGTATAAATTCACTCTTTTTCCTCTTTTCCCTCGCAGTTTTGTTTCACGAGGATCTCCGAGCTTTTATTTGCCGTTTAAATCGTCGAATCGTAATTATTCTCCCGCATGTGAGTACGGATATCGCGCGGATTTACAGACGGACGAAACGAAGCAGGATATGGACACGCGCCCGTTTCGTTGAGGGCTTTCACGTCATGTATGATCGCTGACACCGATAAATATATATATATATATATATATATATATATATCCAGGAAAGAAATAAAAATCTATTCCCTCATCGCTTCTTGACAGATGTGGATGACAGACTTTTAATCTAAAGATATATTACGCTGTTTTATAGACAGGCACGAATTAAATTCTCATTTTCATATATTCTCAAAAACGCAAACACAAAATAAAGATTTGCAAGCCAATCGAGATAAAACAGCAACAAGAATGTCTCTATGCTTGCATTTAAGCACGAATAATTAAATTTTAATCTCTGGAAAAATTTATAAATCGCGTTGTGCGGCAGTTATCTGTTCCACACTTTGATTCCGTCCGTAAGAAAGCACGAGTGTTCAGTCGAGTATGATCGCCGTATTGCTGTGGCAATACCTTTGACAATTAACAGTGACTTTAGACGCTGCTCGCGATCGTCATGGAAAAAACTACCGTTTTACGGCGTCCGTAAATCTCGCGCGAAAGTGAATCTATATTTTATAGGCACACGTGGTGCGTGTAGGTGTGTGTGTGTGTGTGTGTGTGTGCCGGAGTCGTAAAGGCCGACTTGTTAAATCCCCTTTCAGGTGGGTGGTGTCAATAGGGTCGGCAGCAGCAAAAGACCGAGCAGGCGGAGCAGCTGCGAGAGTCAGATGACCGGCGACGAGTTGTCGCTGCGCGAGATGACGACGAGCAACGAGGAGAAGCCGCGAGTGATGAAGCTGGGCAAGAGAAACATAAAAGCCCAAGTGCGTCCCTCCATGTCGGCTCGTTTTTACGGTTTTCACACCTTTGGCTATCGGAGACCCATTTTTCATTTCAAATGTCATACAAAAAAACGAACGTGCAACGTTCGACAGTTTAGTAAGACGTTATTTCACTGCACGACGGAAATTCAGTTTCTGTCTTCAGTCGACTCACAATTATAATGATAACGTCGATTACTTGTCGGGATTAATTTGGATCGCGTAACAGTTAATAATCAAAATATGAATGCACGTTATAAGTGAGTTAATATCTTTTACTTCGTTAAAAGATGATGTTAATTTTTTTATAATGCGCATTCATATTTTAACAAACTAGATATTAAAAATATTATGTCGGTTGACGGTGATGCTTGAGACAAAGATGTACGCAGGTGAAGAGATTTCGCATGGAGACGAAGGCGGCGAAGACCCTGGGCATCATCGTCGGCGGCTTCATTATGTGCTGGCTGCCTTTTTTCACCATGTATCTGGTGCGCGCGTTCTATCCGAATCACATCCATCCAACCGTCTTCAGCGTGCTGTTCTGGCTAGGATACTGCAATTCCGCGATAAATCCGTGTATCTACGCCCTCTTCAGCAAGGACTTCCGCTTCGCTTTCAAGAGAATCATCTGCTGCAGGTGCTCCTGCATACAACGCGCCAACACCCTGCGACGTGGCAGTGACGGCAGCCAATTGGCAATGAGGTCAGTGTTATAATTTGTATTACAAAGTGTATTACGCGTTCTGCGATTTATTTTTGTGCACGGTCGCACGTTTCCGCGCCGCGATAAAAGAAGCGTTTAAGTCGGCGCGGCGTTGCGATTTGTATTACAAATGGAGTGGCATTGCATTCTGCGATCTATTTTCGCACGATCGCGCTTTCGAAGGAGACTTAAAAAATTATCAATTATCTGGTTTATATTTTGAATTTAAGATTTAAAATAATTAATTAGCTAAAGACTCTTGATATTAAAATTGAAGAGAAACGAGGAAAAGTGGACTATGAGAGTCAACTGCGGTTATTTGTGCGTAAGTTGACGCTATGGCTGCGTTCCTTTTGACGCTTTCAGCGCTGAAAGCGTCGCTCCATCTCTATTTGATATTCAATGTGCAACGGAGATAGAATAATGCTTACAGCGCTGAAAGCATCAAAAGGAACGCAGCCTATGTAATATTCAATTAATAATTTAATACAGACTATAAATCGTACGTTTCGACTTCACTTTGAACCATCTTCATCGCGACGCGCGGTGATAGATACATTAAATAATCTCAGGTTCTCCGAAAAGTATAAGGTAAATAGTATTTAAAAGTATTTAAAAATTGAATGTATAAAGAATGTATAAAGAATGTATAAATTTCAAGAGGAAAAATCAGAAAATTTCGCTATTTATAGTCTGCAAAATATTTGGACTAGAAATGAAAATTGAGAGTAATTCTGGCAAAGAGACCATGAAATCTACTCACCAAACCAAGTTCAGAGAACGCGAGATTGACTAGCTAAAGCTCTATAAGAAAGACTGAGATAATTTTTTAACGACGGTGATTGATATAATCGTTGACATAATATAATTTTTTCTTCAATAGACAAGAATTTAACAATCACTATCTACGCTCATTTTACATTTATAAACACAGCAATCTAGAAAAGAAATTAGAAGTTGATTCAAAAACATCAGAGACTTAGTGGAAAAACACCAATTCTATTCACTATTTTTGTTCCGTCTCAACTAATAATCCTACAATCACAACTACGTCTGAAATAACCACTAATGGACTTTCATTGTCTTTTTCCCCAGTTGAATACACAAGGAATAGTTTCCATCATTATTTGAAATTCCCTTCAACCCGTCGTCTTTCTCCAATAACATCCACAGCTCTTTCCTCACATCTATAAGAAATAACTGGTTCAAAAATTTAACTTTCTATCCGATCCCCAAAGAAATACAATGTTTCCTCCAGTTAGGTGGGAATTTTTTATCTATAATAGAAAAAAACAGAAAAATAATCATTGAATTTATAAAAAAACATAGAATGCAACACAAAAAAATTCTAGAGAGACGATTAAATATTAGAAATCGTTCCATTCCTATTTTCAATAGTTTTCCTTCTCTCGGAACAACCATGCAGCCTAACAACTCAACACTTTCCATTTTTAATCTATTGTCAACAACAAAACAATACGTTAAAAATGTTCCGGATATTATTTTTACTAGAATGAATAAGGGCAATATTATATAGGTAAGCCTTAGACAAAAATTATTATAAACAAAAACTTCAGAAAATGATACAAGATACAGACACATACATAAAAATCAGTAAAGATCCAACTAAAAACCTCTGACAATGTTCGAGCCTTGCTTACAAGATGGAGAAAACAAAATTATATTTTAATCGCCACATATAAACAAATAACAGTGATGGGGTGTTGCCGAGGATTTATGGGCTTCCCAAAACCCACAAATTAAAATGTCCTTTCAGAATTATATTCAATTAGTTTCCTTCCTTTATAACATTATCTCTTTTAATCATTGATAACAGCTTCCAATTAAGGAGGTTCTACAGATAATGGATGTATCTAAAAATTGGAAAAAACTTTATGGACGTATAAATTGAGATGCGAGAAAAGTGCTCGAAAAATTTTAGCATCGGTTACCGTGTAAACATTTGCAAAAATGAATTTTGAAATCACAGTTTTTAACATAAGCTACATATGGCAGAGGGGCTCTTGGAGACAGGAAACGAGATATTAATTATATAAAGGCGACCTACCAAAGATTCAAAAAACGGAGTTCTTATAGATCTTAATCTAACCTTTTCAGAAATATCGAGAAAAACAAGGGTTATCGCGTAAAATTTTGTGATATTGGCTATTGAAACAGGCCATATCACAGTTCACGTAGCGTGCTTCGAATAACAAGGGAGATTTGGCAATGTCGCAGCGACTGCACCCGCGCGAAAAGTGTACAGCCAGTACAGCACCACAGTATGACAGCACCTCAAACTTAAGCACCTAACGTTTACGAGCGCTTACGGAGAAGTACTCGCTCTAGAATTATGTGAAATTGTGAAATAACCACGGTCATATGAGCAGAACTGTCAAGTTCGCGACGTTACCACATTTTCTTCCATTATAAGCCGCCAGAGTCAAACGAGCACTTACACGATATTTTTAATTATTCCTCGCTTCGACTAATATGGGTATGATATAAGCTCTAACGTCATCAAAATTCACGAAAATATTTTATGAATACTTAGAATCGACGAATTTGAAGATTTTCTCTTCATCTCTCAACTGACTAGAGAGTACCTGTAGAACCTCCTTAAATGAATTGAAACACATATAGATAACAATTTTATCCTAGCTTTCATTGATGTTTCTTTTTTTACTAATATCCCCATTAATCTGACAAAAAGTTTACATAGCGTCAACTCGCGCACAAATAACCGCGTTTGGCTCTCATAGTCAACTTTTCCTTATTACTTTAATATTAAAATTTAAATTTATTGTTAGAGAACCTTGCCATACGTCAGTTCATGACGTATTCTAGCTTTTCATCTGTCCGATTATCATCTGTATGCGTTGAACGTGAGGAAAGTTTTTTATACTGTCACATAAAAGAAAATCCTTAAATTTCATCACGTTTTATGTATCGTAAACGATGATATATATCAACGAGTTCTATATAAGGATCAATGCTTCCACCCGGTTATATATATATATATATATATGAACGTATTTTCTCTAGGTTATAAAATACGCGATCAATTCTGTGGCTCAGGTCTAAAATAGTTTCCCAATTTTGGATAAATTGAGTTGAAAAATATATTTTTTGAAGATTTTATAGAACTTGAGCTCTAATTAACTCAAGAGAGAGGACATTGTTTTCATTAAAAAAAAAAAAAAAATCCCGCAGAATGATATTTGCACCCGCGATGTGTCTCACGAGAACGATTATGCGTGTGTCTGCGTAGGAACGAACGAAGCCCGAGTTACTCGATCCGCGTGGCACAGCACGGCACCTCCATCGACGACTCGGATCCGGATCCGTCGTTGGAGGCGACCCACTCGCAGAGCGAGTCCAGATGATTGTAGCGACATGTCCGTTCCGGCACGCAGCGCGTCACCTTCAATCCCCGATCCTCCAAAGCGAGGATATTCTCTTTCTGATGATGGCGTGATGGCGCTCCGAAAGCCGCGCTCGACACACGGCCATCACGTCATGACGACGACGAGTCGCCGCCGCCCGCGCGCGGCCTCCTCGACGCTTGGTGTGCCAACGTAAATCGGTTCCGCCGTTCTGCCAGACTAAACGTTGCGTCAGCATTTCGCGTAAATCAGACACCCCGGTGAAGCTGGGAAATGCGCCCGGACTTTATCTGCGTATCTCGCCGCGAATGCACGAAATCGGTAGGCGAGTTAACAGACAGGTAACGAGCGACGCGCGAGTCAGACGAACCGAATAACGTACCACTCGCTCAGCCTGTCTAGTTTATTACTTTTTGTCGTTGAAAAGAAAAACCCGATGCTTGGCTGGTCCATGTAATCTCGCTACAACGGCGACTTTACTTCGACGCCAGGTCAACAGAGAATGTAAAAAGCTCCGGGTAGTTTCTTCAGCGAGGCAACAAATAATTTGATGCTTGGTCTGCTTCCTCGCTAAATCGCGCGATCTCGCTGTAACGAGTTTATAAGCCAGCGGAGGGGTAAGTCAAGTAGCGGATTGCTCTCTCTCCTCGCTTTTCTGTCATCTACTAGAGACTAAAAGAAAAAAAAGAAGGAAAAAGAAAACGCAAACTAGGTACTGTGCGATTTGCCTTCGCGCTGTAATTGCGGCGAGGTCGACGGAAACAGAGGACCAGGTGGAGCTTCGCGATGCGCGTCTACTCGGAATTGAATTCTAGCGCGACAGACCTGGAACGCGGGCGCTTCATCCGCGCGAGAAGCGTGAGAAAAAGAGAAGACGAGAGAAATTCGACTTTTCTTCGCGAGAATAATCATCGCGGCGCTTCGCTTCGATTCGTACATTCGGGCTACACGAGGAGCTTCCCACGGTTTGTCCTTCGTAAAAGGACCGTCTTCTTGCGTCCGGTAGACGCAGTAAGTCACAGCTAGTTTTAATATACGTTACGTGTGTCCCACGCAGATCACGATCGATCAGAGAGAATAATTGATCGTTCATTAGATCTGGAATAATCTCCGATAATCTCCGATAATTTCGCATAATGTGTACGCAAGTCGGTGTGCCTTCTTTCGTCATCTCGCAGTAGAGAGTACACCGTTTTTCGCGACGAGAGAAAATTACCCGCTCTCCGTTCTTCCACACGGATACGCGCGAGCGCGCGCATATACACGCACACACATACACAGAGCCGTTTTGCAATGTTATTTATTCGTTCCGATATACGATACGATACTCGCGCAAGCGAATTACACGTGTAGTTTCTAGTCCCTATAAGCCCTTTCCCGGTTTCGAACGGACGATCGGATCGACCGATCAACCAACTCGCTGCCGATCGCCCTCAATCGTCTGTGTGTGCGTTGCGCCACGCATTTCGTCTTACGTCGCCGTCAAAGATTTGCGCTTTGAAGACTTGAGAATCATCGCGGGTCGTTCTCAAGCTGGGAAAGAAAGCAGGAGTTGGACAATCGCCTCGCGTCCGATCGGGAACGAGCGTCCGACAGGCGCGCAGACGTAAAAACGAGCGACGCAGACCTCCTATGTACATATCGATATCTATGTGTACGCAACAACACGCTAAGTATGTCGTTATATCTTCTATATGAACCGATGTTCGCGTGCACGCTCGCATAAATCGGCGTTTCTCCTCCCCCTCCCGCACTCTTCATCTTCCGTATTTTTTCATTCGAGCGATTCTCGAATGCATTCGAAATGCATCTGGAATAAGGTCGCGCAATTCTTCGATGGCATTGATCCGTGCGTTTTTTTTATCCCGCACGTATTATCGATTTGCAAAACATTCGAATCACATCGTCATCGCCGCGCGAGCATGGCACATGTATTACTTTGTACAATGGGTCAATGTCGGTGCGGATACCGCCCGGGCGACGCTACATCTCATTTTTGCAGAATTTCCCGATTCATCTTCCTCAGATCGCCGTCATAGTTTTTCGCAACTGTAATTCGACGGGGGCGGCGAGACGACCGATCGATTTAAAGAAAAAAAATGCGTGATTTATGTATTATGTGATATATCGTATAAATAAGTAAGCAAACGGATGGAAATAAATATGTGAGTACGTATAAACAGATCCGTCTTTCACACTTTGCATTACACACTCGGAAATTCAGCGGCGCAACACGGTACGTATTAAAATCAATACCGCTGAAAATTGTTAAAGAGGGGAGAAACAACCGAATCCTTTGTTTTATAATATCTCATAATATTTTTATATATAGTTACAAAATCTAAATATCTAAAGAGCAATAGATCGTTTATACATATTGCTGAAAGTTACCCTTAGTTATATATAAAAATATTTTCTGTAATTATGTATAATTATCAGAGAAGACTTTAAGCCCCTTGCACAATAGGCGATAGCGACAGCGACAGCGACAGCGAAAAAGTTGCCGACAAAGGTATAGCTTTGTCGGCAATCTTGTCGCTGTCGCTATCGCCATCGCTATCGCCTATTGTGCAAGGGGCTTTACCCTTAATTCGTATACTCTCGCGGAGATTCCTTTTATCTCTTTAAAATCGCCTTTTCTGGTATTAAGCATTAATTACTCACTCCTGATTACTGGGTGACTTATAAAATATTCATGATGCAAACAGGTCACAACCGCATTTCTACAACTAAGCATCTTGATTCAGTGATTATTTCATTATGTTTCGTCATGTTTCCATCGCGGCTGCCTCCCTCGGGATCCTAATTTGCGTCTCTTGCAACTCGATCTGAATCTCCTCGACGCTTTTGCCCTTCGTCTCCGGCACCATCACGGAGACAAATATGGTTCCAATTAAACTTATCACGCCGAATGTAGCGAATGACGAGGAGATCCCCATGAGATCCACCATGTCCTGAAAGCACTTTGTCACCAAAAACGCCAGCGTCCAATTGCATATCGCGGTGGCGGCGCTCGCCACGCTCTTCACGTTGCTCGTAAACAACTCGCCGACCATCAACCAGGGTATAGGACCGAAGCCGATGCTGAAAATCACGATGAATACCGCGAACGAGAGCAGAGGGATCCAGGAGAAGCTCGAGAGATCGTGCGAGCTCTGAAACAACCGGAGAGCTCGCCAGTCAATTAAAAAACTTGAATATAAAAACATGAAATTGCAAATGAGCGTACGATTGAAAATTACTATTGAAGGCCGATAATTGAATATTTTGAAAAATTATAGATTTGTAATTAAAATTTGATTAATATTTGACTAAGTAATAAGGTTTTTACCTGGAAACGGAAATACCCCGATAACGTGAACATACAAACAGCCATCACTGACGCACTAATGAACAATAATAGCTTCCTGCCGGTGCGTTCGATCAGAATAGTCGAAAAATAGGTGGCGATCACTTGTACGATACCGACGATCACAGACGACGTGGACGAGCTCAGAGTTGATCCCGCGTGGTCGAAGATTATTTTCGCGTAGAATATCAGAGTGTTAACGCCGGAGAGTTGTTGGAAAAACATTAGACCTAAAAAAAATTATCGAACGTCGAGTTAAAGCGCTGACACAATATTACATAAAATATATGTATATACGTGATATGCGTGAAAAATTAAATAAAGTTAATAACATTAGTAAATTAATTAATTATTTTGACAAAAGTATTCAGTAATTAATTTAATGTAACTAATTAACAGTTGAATTTAATTTAACTGTTTAATTTAACTAATTAATAGTTAAATTAAACATTTCTGCTTACCAAGTGTGATGCAGGTAGCTTTCTGATAATTTCTCAAATGCAAAATATTGGGCCTGGCTTGGCGCATTTCCGACGCCTGAAGCTCGAACCTGGCCAATTCCGTCTCGGTGTCGTAGCGAACCCCTCTGTAGTGTTTCAGCACATCATTCGCCTCGTTCTTCCGGCCCCGCATGACCAACCACGCCGGTGATTCCGGTACGAACGGGAAGGAGATCAAAAGCAAAGCGGGTGCCACGGAACAAAGTATCGCGATGACGTGCAAGTTATCGGTGAAGGCTGCAAACGTAATGTCACCGCTTATCATTTCAGGAAAGTTGTCGTGCGGTTGTGCCCTAGAACACTCGCGACTTGAGTTTTATCTATCGTTGCAGACACCGTCAAACCGTGTACAGCGCGTCAAGTTCTTCATAGTGACAGCTTTAATTATCTGTGTCATTACAATGTCCGACATTACAGATGTTTAGATGGAGAGCTACATTTCGCATGTTGTGGAAAATGGAACGAAAAAACGAACGTTTAAGTTATATATAAATTTTACGAAACTTTTTTAGTTATTAATATAAATTATTTTACATCAGTTTTGTCAATTAATCATTGATGTAATGGGATATAATAATATACATTCGAGAATTTAATTATAATGTACAATCAATTAGAGAGAAGACCGCCATTTATGGTCAGGACTGAATCTTGGATAGTCTAATAATAATATTGTATGAATTTTATATGTTTTCTTCAAATTTACTATTATTATTGGACTTCCGAGATCCAGTCCTGACCTGAAATGGCGTTCTTCTCTCTAACTGATTGCATACCATAACGGTTTTGTTTTGCTTGTTATTATTAATTAATGTATTTTTCTGATTTCAATTGTAGGTTTTGTTGCGCGGTATCAAAGGCACGTGCCATGAAATTGATCAGCGTTATATTTATGAAATCGAAACGTTTCTTTACCAGTAGCATATGCGAAGAGAATTCCGGCGGTAATCTGCAATTGGAAAATAGTGCCAAGCAAGCCCCTAATGCTCTGCTCGGCAATCTCAGACGCGAACATGGGAACAACGACGGATGCTGCGCCGCATGCTGCCCCCGCAATAAACCGCGCCAAGAAAATCCTTTCGATGGAAAAACTCGATTATGTAACGTAAGTAGAAAATCAATGAAACCGTACAGTAAAATCGTTAAGGCTGGCTGGGAACGCCAATCGATGAATAAAACGTGATAGATAACGGACTAAATTTCGTTTACATAAATTATGTAGAACAACATGATTTCTTCTACTATATAATTGAACCATTGTGTAAATTGTAAATTAACGATAAAAGCGTTGAAAGTGAGATTTGGCTATGTATTATTATTCATTTTGGCGTAACGTGAAATTTAAAAAAATTTCTTTTTACACGAAAAAAAAATACGTTAACATTTCACATGAAGCATTTTTCAAATTTTCTCTTTCGCGTTTTTTAAAATACAATTCCAAACATGGAACTACATTTTCATTATTATTGACATAAATAACATCGCGCGAGTCGCGAACGAAATGCCGTGCCGTGTCAGAATCCGAAGTGTGAATCTTCTTACCATATCTTACTTCGCGCGAATCCGATAATGTACCAGCACAGAAATAAGGGCACGGTCGTCGCCCAAATCGTTCTCTTCCGACCAAACCTATCCGCCAGGATTCCCGCCGGGATAGCGGTCGGAATCGCACCGAGAGGCACCAGGGAAGAAATCCATGAGCCCTCCTGATCGCTGACAGGTAGGGTGTCGTTCGTGTTGTAAAGTGGCAAGGCGGATGACGTCCATGACAAATACGTGCCGATCGAGAACGCGGCGAGTGTCGCTAAGCGGTAACAGAAAGTAAATGTCAGACACACATTTCATCTCGCGAAATTCCTCTTGAGAGGAATATTCTATTTGATCTATCTCGTGAAATATATTTTATCTTCGACAACGTTTTCTGTCTTGAGAGAATTCTTCCACCTCGCGCGTTACTCTTGATATTCTCCTGCTTGGAGATCCCACGGGCGCGCGCAGGGACGGGAACGCCAAGTTAAATTACAGCGAAGAGATGTCTATCGAGAGAGTTTTAACTACGGGAGGCGAACTTTCGATTAAATTAAGAAACACGATTAATGCAGCAATCGCGCGTAATAGGTTTTTTTTTTTTGAGCGGCGTTTTTTTTCTTTTCAAAACCGCTTCCTAACTCGCCGAAGGCTACGAAGATGAAGACAGATTTACACGTTTTTATCGCCGTTCAAAATCCCCCCCAAGCGTACGCGCTGGATTCACTGTTTTTTTTTTTTAACTTCCTCGCGTCTATTAAATATTCATGTGTAAATGTGGCAGCCGCATCTGAATGTCGCGATGAGTTCGCGAGAGGATTAAGCGTATTCCCACCCACAAAACTCACCCACAAGCACGCCCACGTATTGCGCGCATTTCGAAGTCGGTCGCTCGCGCGACGATCTCTCGTCGCTCTGTGCAATTAAAGCCATTGTGCATTCACGAGAAAACGCACGATCACTTTAGCCACTTAAAACACTTTGCAAAAACAAACGGTGCCCCGCACACGCGTATGCGCGCACGTCCGCCGCCGCGCCGCAACGGTAGAGTTCAAGCGACATTGAACTCAAAAAAGCGTCACGTCGTGACGCAATCCGTCGAATGCCACAGATTGTGCCCGTCCTAATCCGCGTTTCTTCCGCGAGACCTTTTTATCAGCGCCGCCGCTACCGATATCGGTCGATTCGGTGTTGTAACCCCGGCGCTTACGTAAAGACCAAAGTTGAGGTTTTACGCCATCATCAGAAAGTAATCTGTGTAACTGTTATCGGATATTATTGCATCTCTCGCCTCGGTATTTTACGCGTCTCTCACAATCAGACTTAAGCGGGATATAATTGTGCGCGGATAAAGTTCATCTGCCCGCTATTCAGGTTGCGTTTATGCCGCTTTGAACACGCCGTTTCATACACGTCACATTCAACGCAGCCGTTTCCGCTTTCACCACCGCGCTCGGTTGAGCTGAAACGCCGTAAGAGATGTTGTTCCTCGAATACACAAGTGTACCATTAAATCCTTTCGAGAAATACTGAAACATGATATTTCGATTTCATTCCTGAAACACGACTGAATCGTATCTCTACAAACAGTACAAACATAATTTCTGCTTGTCTGGAAGACGATCCATTTTAGTATTTGAACCTCAATATTTGAAATTTAAAGGTAGGAGGAGACATTTAAAAAAACGTGGCTGCAAATCTATTACACAAATTTATTAATGTGAATAGTAAAAATTTAATTTTTTAAATAAAATAATTTTTTTATTTAATTTTACTAATAAAATAATTAGGAGAACGTGAGGCAGAACGGGAACTCGAGCAGAACGGGGTACTTTATTTGTCCCATCAAGTGATATAATTTCTTGAAACTATACTCAGTACCTATATCGTCGTCTACCAGACAGCAGTTGGTAGCCATTCCTTAAGCCTTATGTGTTATTTGAAGGTAACGTCATATTTTATTGTGTTTTTACAGTATTAGATACTTCTTCCATCTCATGTAAGTGAAAGAAAGTTACTTGTACTTTATTTACTTCTGATGTTGTTTATTTATTTATTTATTTATTTATTTATTTAAGTTTTATGCCATCCTGTTAAATGAATAAAAAGGAAAGTACCTCGTTTTTTCTCCATGGAACAAAACGAGGCAAATAACTTTTTTTTGTTTAAATAGTATTGTTTGTATAGTATTTAAAAAGGATTATTACAAAATTGATAATCTAATAATTGTTTTTCGTTCTTTATATAGTAATGAAAGCATTTATTTATATTATAAAATAAAAAAGTTGGAATTATTTATTACAAAATATTTATTTTTAAACATTAACTACTCCATTCTGCCCCTATATTTTTAATAATGGTATAAAGATATTGCGCCTGAATATATGCAAATCTATTGCATTTATTCATTTCATGCAGAAATGATTAAGAGAGAACAAAGAAGAGACAGGGGGACATATGAAGACAACAATAGAGATTGCATTTTTCATCTGTATTTACGTAATATGATCAATAAGTGCAATCTACTAAACAATCTTGAAAACATGACATCATTAACGCCTTTCGATCTAAAAATGATAGAAGAAGAATGCTTACGGAACGTGAAGTAATTTATCCGGTCGCAATCGCGACCGCGGAGTAAGCTTAACATTACAAAGAAAAAATAAAGTTAGGAGGATACTCGAATACGAATCAAGTCCGTTCCTCCGCGTTTCCGCGATAACAATCGTTGAACAAACTCGAGAAGCATTCGCGCAATACTTCCTCCAATCCCCGACACCAATATTTATTACGCGAGACGATACATTTGAATTATTTAAATACGAACTTTTCTGGTACATCTTCTTCTTGCTCCTTGACTGTCGCGAGTAATTATCTTTAACAAAAGCAATCAAGATCCGTTAAATAAATACACGAAATATATGAGTTTACTTTATCTTTTCGCTTTGTCCTTTTCACTTTTCTCTCTTAATTGAAATTAATTTCTCGATCAAAATTTACAAAAATATATTCTGCTTCTGTTTAGAAAGCTCAAATATACTTTATTATTCTTTATTATTCCGCGAGATTGAGATCCACTGACAAATTCGAAATTTAGGAAAGGAAATTGTGTACGGTATTAATGTTTGAAATATGACATTGCGCTTCTCGAAGACGAAAGCTTTTACGCCTCACGGGACACTTTCTATGGCGCCGACGTGATTATCACTTCGCTTCTGGCAGATTAGTTGCCAAGACTCTGAATCCATTGTGATCAGCGATGTAATGCACCTGCTGAAGAATCCCGTTGGGATCGATGTAACTGTAGGCACCCCTAGTGGTGCCGTCGAGCGACCTGGATTCGGTTTTGGCGCTCGAGTCCCCGGTATAACTGTAATCGTATTGGCCCAGGGAGTCCTGGGTGTGATGCAGCGAGCTGTGAAGGAATCTATAAGGCACCACCGGAAGTACGTAGGGCGCGGGCAAGGCCAGCCGTTTCTGAATGCTGGCGAGCGGCATCACCCTCCCCGAATGCAAGGCATTCTGATAAGACGTCGTCCGTTCGTCGTCCTTGAGAAGCGTGTTCTCCCTTAGTGACGTTGAGGGTGCTAACGACGAGGCGGCGATGGTGGTGGTGGGGCCTGAAGACGTGGGCGATACCTTCGAGAGGCTCGGATCCGGCTTGGGAACGTTGATTCTCTCTGCCTCCGATCTTGGCAACAAGAACGGATTGGTGGTACCCTAAAAAGAAGAAGCGAGTAAAAGAAATTGCTTAATTTCTATTTTAACATTGGACAGATTGGATATTTGTAATGTCAATTGGAATGTCGTTTTACATATTATTTTACATTTACTTTGAATTATACAAAACAGTATGTACTATTATACATACATATGTATGTATATGTCGCAGGAATTTTACGTAATTCATTTTTTTTTTGCAAAATTCTTAGAGAATCCATAAAAAACTGGGATATTGTGGAATATATATATATATATATATATATATATATATATATATATATATATATATATATATGTATAACTTATATCTTTAGTAATCAGTAGAATTTTGGCGTTAAAGGTGTGGAAAATTATATATATTTTTTACTATTTATTTTATATTTATAATGAAAATATTTTATACGGTAATTATTTTTATCGAAACGCTCTCTCTTATTAAGCAAAAAATTCCAAGGCAATCGCGCGGTGCTATGAATTTCTCGTACGTTTCAAAAGATGAAACGCGTGAATTTTACCTTTTTACCGCCGCGTTCCTCTTATTCGAGCAAACTTCGATTGAAATGTCCGCGCGCGCGACTTGCACATACCTCTATTTCTCGCGTCTTCAAATTCAGTTCGGCCTTGCTGGCGCCGTCCGGCTGGATTTGGGCGAAGCTAAAGTACGACGGCACGATCTTGTACGACAGAAGATTCTGATCCTGCCAATTGGCCTGATGCGACTTTTGCAACTCCTCGAGATGATTTCTCTTCGCCGCGGCCACTTCCGGCGTGTCGTGTACAGTTTGCTGCTCATCCTTGGGTGGCTGCGGCAGATTGCTCGCGCTGACTCTAAATCCATTCTTATCGTCCGCCGTATACGAGACCGTTTGCAAAATTCCATTTGCGTCGATGTAGGAATATCCTGAGGGCATAAATAGAAATGATAATACTCCTCGATAACGGGGCGCCATTGTGTCATCTAGGGAACGCTTATTCGCGCGTGGAAAGGTATTTACAATTGTCGCATCTGTTACTATTGATGTACGTTAATCGCCGTAATTATTGCTGCTATTGATTAATATTTAAAATGACATTAATTAGATAGCACTTGCGCTCTTTTGATAATTATGTATATATTCATATAATTTTGCGCACGTTACATTACGCGTATCGTGAGTCATCACATTGCAATCGAGAGAGAGAAGCGGCTCTAACATGCAACCGCGCATTGTCATCCGAGGAAATTTGCAGGGACGAGCATGCGGCGTATGGGCGTCTTTCTTACGTCATGCCGGCGAGCATTAGCGAAAGATTCACTCGCAGGACGTAGGCCGGTAATGCACCTCTTGTAACACACTTCGCAAAAGAATGCATTCCATTTATGCACTTGCGGCACGCGCATTAGATCATGAATCGTGACAAAGCGCGCGCGCGCGCGTTGCCGTCCGTTGCAGATAAATTTCGCTTTACATTTACATATATAAGATGTCCCAGCTCTGCGTGACTGGCCTTTATCAACGATGAGCTCTATTACTGAAACGTCAAAATGTGTAAAAAATAAAGAAAAAGAACTTACCACCCTGCGTGACACCGTTCAAGGTAGTTTCCGCTTTGGCGTGATGCGGCCCCGTGAAGGAATATTGATAAGATCCCGATCCGTCTTGTATGTGGTACTGCCTTAACGGCGAAAGGGCCGGTATCGGGCTCAGCCAAACATTGGCGATCGGCGAAGCGATGGATCGTCCGATGACGAGGCTGCACAAAATTGTCTACAGGCAGAGAAATATGAAAAATATCAACTATAATTAATATTATCGAATTATTATCGGCGTGTTAAGCAGCTTTAATTGAAAATACGATATAAGCCCGCGAAAAATTGTCATTAGTTAAAGCAATTGATTCACGAATTGAAAGACTCTGTAAATTTTTATATCGATTTGCGATGAGTACGTCCCGTGATTACTAATAAAATCCTCTTATTTAATTATTATTATTTTCATATTTTTAAATTATATTGTAATATACGTAAATAAAATTGTACCAAAATCCATCCGCTCCAGCTGTGAATTTTAATTTGCTAGTACCGAATAATTCGGCTTAAAACAATGTGGCATAAATTATCAAATTATACTGCGATGGAAATTATTAAAGATTCTCCGTAGCTCGAATTAAGACTGTAATATGCAACATCAATTTGTTAGGGCGCTTATTCTAAACAGCTATATTTGTCTTAAGTGTTCCATTCCGCAAATGAGACACGTCTCATTACAGCTATGTTTATTAACCAATTAATTTGATGGCAGTGCATCAGCTGCAACAGTTACGCAGGCGTGAGGATACGACTGTCATTACATGGCAGACATAATTTTCTACACTAGGGATATTGCTATTTAGAGACACGCGACAACATTAGTCGTGATTACGCGGATAC